ATGTGGTGCTGGGGGATTGAACCGCGGTCCCCGATGCTTTGCTAAGCTTGTTCTAAGTAGGTGCTTTAGACCACTGAGCCATCTCTCCAGCCCTGGTTACCCATTTCTTATTGGGTCTTTTATTGGGGAAACAATTTTTTTTAGCTCTTTACATATTCTAAATTTTAGTCCTCTGTCCAAGGAACCACTGGTGAAGTTTTTCCCATTCTATAGGTTGTCCCTTCTCTCTGTTGGCTGTCCAAAGTTTTGTTAGTTTGTTATGATCCCATTTGCTGGTTCCCAGTATTATTTCTTGTGCCATAGGGATTCTGTTCAAAAAGTCCTTACCTATGCAAGAGTTTTGACTATTTTATATTCCAGCAGATTTTTTCTATTTTAATAGCTATGTCTTTGATCCATTTTGATTTTAGTTTAGTGTATGATGAGATATCGGGGTCTGGATTCAGTCTTCTACACGTCTGTAGATAGTTTTGCCAGTACTATTAATGGAAGAGGCTATCTTTCCTCAAGTGTATATTTTTGACCTTCCTGTCAAAGATTAAATAACTGATTTTATCTGAGGTTATCTGTTTCCTCTATTTTGTTCCATTGATTTATGTCTGTTTTTATGCCAGTACCATAAAAACAGACATGTTTTTATTACTGTAGCTTTATAATATAGCCTCAAGTCTGAGCCTCCTGCCTTGTGTTGTTACCCAGAATTGCTTTTGCTATTCTGGGTCTCTTTTGGGTCCCCTATGAATTTTTGGATTGTTTTCTCTAGATCTGTGAGGAATGCTGTTGGTATTTTGATTCAGATCATGGTAAATCTAAATATCACCTTTGGAAGTATAGCCATTTGGGGTATATTAATTCTGCCTATCCAGGAACATAGAATATATTTCCGTGTGTGTGTGTGTGTGTGTGCGTGTGTGTGTGTGTACGCGCCCCATCAAACTAAGTAAGGCCAGGGCTGGTGAGATAGCTCAACAGACCAAGCGCCTGCTTAGGCAAGTGCAGGGACCACTCCCCAAAACCACAGGCCACACTAGCCCTGTCCTCGGGTGCGGTGAGCTAGCCAGAGGTATGGTGGCGAACCTCTGTAATCCCAGCGCTAGGGAGGCCAAAAACAGGAGGATCACTACAAATCTGAGCTGCCTGTACCAAATACATTTAAAAAAAACCCTAAGAAAGGCCAAGAAGAGGGGTTACCAGCCTTTGCAGGTAGCTGCACCATTTAAAAATTTTGCATGAAATTTGTAGGCAGGAGAGGGAGGGACGTGGGGCTTGGAAGTTGGTGACATTTTCCTTCCTGAACATATCAAAACATGAAAAGCAGGCTAGTGGCTGTCGTGCAGTCCTGTTTTTGTATGTCATCCAGAGTGTTCTTTAGAACAGTGGGTGTGGAGCACATGCAGCATCAGAACCTGGCCTGGCGCTCATCCCAGTAAGTTCCAAGACCTGCCAAGAGGATCTTATTTCCTCAATGCAGGCATCAGGCTCAGCGCACAGGAAGGAGCGACAAGGAAGCCTCTCACCTTTGCCCTTGGATCCTTCCCAGGGTCTCTCAGCAGGCAAAGGCTGGCTAGCCAAACCCTCTTAGGGAAATCAGGGGCACAAAGCAGGCAGTACCTACAGGAAAGAGACTAGGGCCTGGGCTCCCAAGAGACCCCAAATCCGCTAATCAGCTACAAGGCATTAAGCAAGTTGTCACAGTGCCATGGACTCTCTCCCCTTCTGTAAGATGAGAGAGCTACACTAGAACAGGGCTTTTCTGACTCCACGACCACGGTCATTCTGTGCTGGCAGGACAGGCAGAGACACTCCAACAGAGGCTCATTGAGAGCCAGGCCAGGAGCCTCTGGAATTCCCCAGCCTCGGCCAGGAACAGAGAGTTCTCTCCCCTCTGGTTCTTGACCTCAGACAGCTCCCATCCCCTGCTCCTAACCGCAGTGGAAATCTGTGAATTCATTTTCCCTTCTCTCAGAAGAAGGGAAGACGAGAGCAGGGGCTGAGGGGCTGTGCGGCTTAAGGACGTGGGAGAGCCTGGGGGAAACTCAGCAGAGGTTATTCTGGAGGACCAGGATAGAAGACACAAACCCTGAAATCAGACAAAACACATTTTATTCAGAAAAGTATTATGGGACCACTACTGAACTACCAAATAGGGCACACCAGTCCTCTCTCCCCTCCTACCCCCACTCCTCCCAAGGAGTCTCTCTTGACCTTTGCTGGACACCAAAATTGTCTCCTTGATACACAAATGATCCCTGACATTAGGGCTAGAACCTTGGGTGACCAGACTCCTGGCGTCAAGGAAGGAGCCAAAAGTTCTGGGCTCAATCAGGTGGCCATACCTGTGGCACAGGCCCATGAGAGAGGGTGTATGTGGCCACAGTCTCATCCATCCTTCTCACATCTGGCAGAGGGCCTGCTAAGCCGCTGGAAACCAAGCAGGAAGGCACATCTGGGAGAGCCAGAGCACTCCGGAATGCTCTAGGCAAGTCTAGTGGATTAAGGCACCATGAATATCAAGATGTCTGCTCCTGAGTAATGTCACCTGGCCACAAACCCGGGACTAGGGGACCAAGAGAGAGACTGGGGCAGGGGGGAGCTGAAGATTCAACTTAGATGCTGATCTATAAAAGGCAAGAAAAAAAAGGCTGGAAATAAAATCCATTTGTAAGGGTACAGGAGTGCAGACCTCCGTTCCAGGTGCCTGGAACCTTGTGCCCAAATCACAGCACCACCACAATCAGGAATTCTCTTGGACTAAGGCTAAATGAATCTTCCACTGAATGGTGTACAAGGAGGCTTCTAGGCAGAGGTCACTGCCTCTCCGGGCTGCCCCAGTTGCCAGTAAAGACACTGAAACTTTCAGCCCGCCCAAGCCAGGATGGTGTTGCCAGCCAGGGCAGTGGGCCCTGCGGGAGGCCAGCTTGACCCTCTCTGGACATCTCCATGGCCTCAGCAACATGGAAGCCTGAAAGAGAAGAATGAAAGTCACCGGGCTTCCAAGGCACCTAGTGTCCCAGCAAGGCCTGCTCCAGGCTCTGGCTGAGACCCTCTCTGCTCAGACGTGAGGAACAGTAACTCTTTCCAAAGCACAGTAGCAAGGCCCAGCCTACCAAGCCCTGAAAGGACTGGGGACAGTGGGCTCAGTGTTCTGAGACTTGCCTGAGGGGACCAAAAGATAACAAAAATAATGCATATACTTTCAGTTTTGCAAGATTAAAAAAAGTTCAAGAAACAGAGGGGGTAAAAAGAAAAAAATTAAAAAAAATAAAATAAAATAAACAGAGGGGGTGATGGCTGCACAACAGTGTGAATGTACTTAATGCCACTGAACTGTATGGCTAAAACTAGTCAAAATGGTACATTTCATGTTACGTACATTTTATCCCAATTTAGAAAAAAAAATGTGCAGAAAATAATCCCAGGGTGCTTAAGCATGTGCTGTTCCACTGAGCCACACCCTCCGCCACAGGAAAAAATGTCTAAGCAAACATGTACTGACTTCCTACCATATATAGTATAGCCTGGTGCTAAAAACACCAAACTGTCAGGGTTCAAATCTGAGGTTCACTGTTCATTAGCCATGAAATCTTGGGCAAGGTCATTTAACCTCGCTGGGGCTCATTTTCCTCATGTAGAAAATGCGAAAAACACTAGAATCCATCACAATATTACTGAGAGCATATGTGAGGACATGTGGAACACTTGGCCGTTCCAGCACACAGGAGGGCTGTGCCAAGTACAGTGCAAAACTTACACACCTATTCTGCACTCCCTCCCAAAGATCAGCTTCATAATCAGAACTGGAAAGCTCAACACTTCACGGGTGAATTTAAAAACAAGCTCCAGGGGCTAGGGGCGTGGCTCAGTGTAGAGCGCTTGCCTAGGAGCATGAGGCTCTGGGTTCAATCCCTGCAAGGAGTCTCCTCTATTACGGTTTATAATCCTGAGCAAATTGAGCATTTTCAGAGAGCAGATGGACCTTTGAATGATTTAGCAAAAAGGATGAATTTCACAACTCTATGGGCATTGTGGGTACTGTCACATCGCCAAGTTCTCTAAATAAAACCTTTGGAACTTTTTGAAAAGGAGGCATTGTGTTTTTTATTCAAAGATCCACACCTTCTTCCAGAAAACAAAACAAAATCTTACCTTAGAGGCAGGCTGGCTGTTCACCCTGGCTCCTGCAGTTTATCTTCTCTTTGGCGAACGGGGCACACCGTGCCAGAGGCTCATAGGCACGGCCAGGCCCTCTCACAGGTGAAGTCCTTTCAACTGGGACAGCATCTGGACAACTTGGCTTCATTTCTCCGACAACAAAAGGGGTGCTTGAGTTCGAGTTTCCAGGTCTGTGGCTGGAAGGGGCAGCAAGCTCCTTCCTTACTGGGCTGGGTCTCCCTGTTTAGAAAAATTCCCTTGGAAAGAAGACTTTCCAAAATCCTCAACAGGTCAGACTGCAGGAACAAACAGGAACTGGGACCACATAGAGACGCCTGGAACCTTGAAGTTGGAAACACTGATCAGGGCCCAGAAACATGAATACAGTAAACTAAGTCACCGGGCTTGGGCCTCTGGGGTTGTCGCTATGCTAATGAACATCACCACTTTTCAAGAGAGGGTGACAGTACCGCTGACAAACCCACTGGGCTTCCAACGTCTTTTAGATGGAAACAGCTCGTGGGCCAGGCTCCTGGAACACCCACTGGTTTCTTGTGAACAGCGCTGCTGCGCAGACCAAGGTTCTCATCTTAAATTGGCTGTTCCCAAGAACTGGGTCCCTATCTGGAAAAAAAAAAAAAAAAAAAGTGAGGGAGGATGGGCCTCACCCTAATGTTCCTGATGGTGTTGTGGGATCCCTGCTACAAACATACTGAGGGCTGCGGGGGAGTGGAAGTCTGGGGGTGGGGGGAGGTTACTTCGAGACCAGGGACGTTATTGTGATTCGGACTGGCTTGTAAGAAGCACAAGCACAAAGGCGGAGGAGGAGGAGGCAAGAGAAGACTCCAGAAACGCAAGAGTGCAGCCCCTGGGCTTTCCCATCCATCTCTGCCTCCGAGGACTGGCCTCACCCCAAGACGTCGGAACACCCAGCGACGGGCACAGAGGTGTTCTGTAAGGTCCCAACACGATCCCAAACTAAACCCCAACTCGCCGGCCACCCCAGGACGAGCCAAGGCCTGCCCTCAGCTCTTCCGCAGCTGCCTGCCCGCCTTTTGCAGCCCCGGAGGCTGAAGAGGCCGGGGAAGGGTGCTCTTCCGACCGCAGGGCGCGAGGGAGGAGGGCGGTGGCGGGGCCCTGCGACTGGCTCCAACTCGGGAGCCTCCCCGGATCTACGCGGCGCCTGGCCACGTCTTGCTCTCAGCAGGGAAGGAGGAGAAGAACCGTTAAGTTCTGCCAGCGGGTGGGGGCAGCCGGTCTGCGCTTGTGCGTCCGCCGCTCGCTCGGGTCGCTGCGCGGTCCCCGGAGACCCACAGCGCCTCTGGCGACGGTCGGGACTCGGGGCGCAGCGCTGCGGTCTGCGGGGACGGCTGGTCTGGGGTCGCGGACGCGGGCGGCAGGGGGCACAAGGGGCAGGGGCAGAGCGCAGGCGCGCCAGGCTGGAGTCAGACGAGGCCGGCAGCGTCTAGAGCGCCATCCGGCCAGGCGCGCGCCGAAGGCCTCACGCCACCTCCTGCTTGCCCTGGTAGCGACGGCAGCAGCCGTAGAAGGCCGAGAGCAGGTAGAGGCCGAGGCACAGGCCCCCGCAGACGGCGGCCGCCAGGAAGGCGTGGTAGGCGCAGGGCAGCGGGTAATCCTTGAGGTTGCAGTAGCTGTGGCGCTGCGTCTGGTCGATCATGATGCCCGTCGCGGCGCCGTACAGCGCGGCCGCCAGCAGGTCGTGCGCCACGTTGACCACGAGCCAGCGCGAGCCCAGCACCGGGACCAGCTCGTGCTTGCCCAGCAGCGTGAGGAAGTAGAGGCCCAGGGTCAGCAGCCAGAAGAGCACGGACACGAAGAGCGCGAAGTGCACGGGGCCCTGGTACTTGCTGGTGGCGATGGTGACCCAGAAGGCGGCGCCGGCCAGCAGCTGCAGGACCCGCAGCACGCCCAGCGGGCCGCGCAGGAAGGGCCGCTGCAGGCTCACCGCGCCGCGGG